GCAGCAGCAACCACAGCCTCCCAGACACTGTTCAGAGAGGTGTACTGTTTTCCCTCCTTGTAAATCTCACATTTGATGATGGACCACAGGTTCTCAATGGGGTTCAGATCAGGTGAACAAGGAGGCCATGTCATTAGATTTTCTTCTTTTATACCCTTTCTTGCCAGCCACGCTGTGGAGTACTTGGACGCGTGTGATGGAGCATTGTCCTGCATGAAAATCATGTTTTTCTTGAAGGATGCAGACTTCTTCCTGTACCACTGCTTGAAGAAGGTGTCTTCCAGGAACTGGCAGTAGGACTGGGAGTTGAGCTTGACTCCATCCTCAACCCGAAAAGGCCCCACAAGCTCATCTTTGATGATACCAGCCCAAACCAGTACTCCACCTCCACCTTGCTGGCGTCTGAGTGGGACTGGAGCTCTCTGCCCTTTACCAATCCAGCCACGGGCCCATCCATCTGGCCCATCAAGACTCACTCTCATTTCATCAGTCCATAAAACCTTAGAAAAATCAGTCTTGAGATATTTCTTGGCCCAGTCTTGACGTTTCAGCTTGTGTGTCTTGTTCAGTGGTGGTCGTCTTTCAGCCTTTCTTACCTTGGCCATGTCTCTGAGTATTGCACACCTTGTGCTTTTGGGCACTCCAGTGATGTTGCAGCTCTGAAATATGGCCAAACTGGTGGCAAGTGGCATCGTGGCAGCTGCACGCTTGACTTTTCTCAGTTCATGGGCAGTTATTTTGCGCCTTGGTTTTTCCACACGCTTCTTGCGACCCTGTTGACTATTTTGAATGAAACGCTTGATTGTTCGATGATCACGCTTCAGAAGCTTTGCAATTTTAAGAGTGCTACATCCCTCTGCAAGATATCTCACTATTTTTGACTTTTCTGAGAATGTCAAGTGCTTCTTTTGACCCATTTTGCCAAAGGAAAGGAAGTTGCCTAATAATTATGCACACCTGATATAGGGTGTTGATGTCATTAGACCACACCCCTTCTCATTACAGAGATGCACATCACCTAATATGCTTAATTGGTAGTAGGCTTTCGAGCCTATACAGCTTGGAGTAAGACAACATGCATAAAGAGGATGATGTGGTCAAAATACTCATTTGCCTAATAATTCTGCACTCCCTGTATAATGGTCACGAATATTTATTGTGAATACAGTAAAATTACATCAACGTTTCAATCTATCAAAGACTTTCATCAGGATCAGTCTTTGATAGACTGAAACGTTGATGTAATTTGACTGTATTCACAATATATATTTGAACTTGGTTGAAAAGTCCAGGGAGAGCTCTCTTTCATGACCATTGTTTACATGAGGCTGGAGATTGCTCCTTGGCAAATACTTCTGACAGGTGTGTATATATAGTGTGTGTGTGTAGAGTGTAGTGTATTTGTGAAATATCTTTTGAACGATTTTTTCTTTTACTAAAGCAACAATTAGTTTTGCTTTGTTACTGTACTTTAGTGTGTTCCTTTGAAAGAGGATAATAAGGGTTATGGCAGCTTTTTTTTCTTTTTTTTTTTGTGAATTCAATTCTTTTACACATTTTTATCCACATCACAAGCACAGCTGGTATTTTAGATGAAATAGAAAAATGTTGGTGCCAAATACCAATCTCCATGGGAAGACATTTGCATTTTCAAAACAATTTCGCATTCATATGTCAATGCATGTCAGCAATGTCCACAATGCGTCTAAACATTGTATCTACATCCTGCTTATACAGTGATGTGGTGGCACCATATCAGTGTACAAAGATCATGGTGTAAGGTATTGTAAAAATAACAGTAATTAAAAAATAATCTCCTATATACATGTCTACAGCTTGTCCAACAATACTTGAGAAGTGTTTAGCATAACACAGTTATTCAACTTACATTGAATTTAGACAAAATACATCTAAAATGAAAATGTCCCCGTTAATGCAGATTGCTTATTAAAAATGCATACTTTAGAGCTTTACTGAATCCTATAAAAACTCTTAATATGAATTATATATAAGCATCTTGTTTTAAAGAGCTGACAACCTGATTTTGGACACACACAATAACATGGGAAATTGAATATTTATCTTATCAATTATCTGTAAAGTGCTGTATATACACATACAACATGCACAAAATGAATTATATGGAAGAGTAACCACTTAAACAGAATCCAGACAATTAACATGGTGAGTTATACCTAAAAACCTCTGCTCATTAATTTCCAAAACAAAATCAATAATGTTGCTGCAAGATGCATTTTATAGACTGAAAATATAAACCGAGTTACAGTATCCCTGATATTGGTTAGGTTGTGAATGGAAAAAGGACATCACTTTGTATTTTTTCCCCTCAAAAAAAAAAGGGAGATCTGTCACACTTTAATTATTAGAGCTTTAAAAAAAAAAAAAAAATCTAATAAAAAATGGACACTTGCAGCATGAGCTGCCAATCACAGCATTTCAATAAGTCAGCTACTGCAAGAAGCATTTAAATATTTACAATATAAAATTACAGTGCATGAGCACGTGTCATGCCATACACACCCACATATCTAACAGTTTAAATTTCTTCATAAGGAAACTGGAAGTCCAGGCAAGTAACTGAGAAAAAAAAAATGAAATTGGTCTACGCTTGGGTGAGATGTAGTAAAAGGTACATGAGGATAAACTGCAGTAAAAAAAAAATATATATATATATATATATTTTTATTTATTTTTTCTAAATTTATATTTTTAATGCATTATCCATAAACACATATAAAAGTTATTGTCAAATACAACATGGAGTGACACTTTAAAAGACCACTTCATTATTTTATTTTTCAAACATCTAGTAGATATTTCCATCACCCCCCCCCAAAAAAAGACATTTAAAAGAACACTCCAATTACCAGAACCACTACAGCCAGGAACAAATTTCCGATTAGGCAGCACAGACACCTGACCACTAGGGACACATGTTTTCAGCACTTATAGTGTTCCTTTTTTTGTTTAAATAGGCTGGTGATAATAGATAAGGGTAGCAGTAGTTTTTCCCAGTGTTTTTTTTCTATCCCAGTTTGGCTTAATAGCAGATGTGCGAGAACAGTTATAGATTTTGTAAAATTTACAGATTTTACTATTAACATAATGTAGAGTCATGATTTTATTAACGACACAGAAGAGAGTATTATGCTGCACTCTCTCTTTATTTCCCTCAGCAGCAAAGAAAAAATATAACATTAACTCAGTATGATGACAATAAATAGCATGAGAGGTGTATCTTCCTAGCGACAGGAACTGCCAGATTCCACTCTCCAGCATAATAGGTGGTGATCAGTAAACTACTTCCTCTTTCTTGCAATCCCAAACAAGGACAACCATCCAACTGAAAAAGGGGAATCCATAAGAAGAGAATGCCAACAGAGATGTGAGGTCAAAATCAAGCTGTAATAGAGAGGAGAAATATGGTAATATCCAAGTATAAAACTGGATGTATGCATAAGATGTATTACATGTCATTAAGTATAATTATACAATATTATTTTGGAATAGTCTAAACTTAACCATAGATGGTCATAAACTGGATAATACCATATTCGAAGACTTACCGTGAAGTCAACTTATCCATATCCAATCAATCCTCGGGTTGGAAGGAGCGGATAATACTCACCTCCGTGTTGTTAATAAAATCATGACTTTACGTAAAATCTGTTAAAAGTAAAATCTGTGAATTATTATTATTAACACACCTATTATGCTGGTTAAAAGCTGGGAAATCACGTTTCCCGCAAAGTGTTGAATAGGTAGAAAATAAAAATCATGGAAAGTGGACTCTAAAGACCAATCGTCCGCTTTCAAGATATCTTCTAAGCGATAAACGACTGGAAGCCAATGCTCCCCGAGTCAAATGTGCCAGGAACATAGATGTATCAATACCGGCTAACAACATAACCCATTTGACCCATGGAGCCAATGTGGTTGTAGAAACCGGGAGATGAGGCTTTTGGAAGGAGTTGAAAAGTTCAGGTTTCAATGGATTCCGCAAGGTTGCGGTACGAAGCTCATATTCACGAATACAAACACAGGAACCAGAGTCAATGAACTTACACTGCCCTCAGGGAGAGGCAGTGTCTTATACCTGGCTAATTAGGCTTTTGGAAGGAGATGAAAAGTTCAGATTTTGATGGATTCCACAAGGTAGTGGTACGAAGCTCATATTCAAGTAGACATGCGACCGTGCATAGGAGAAGCCAATCAGGGAAGGCCGGGTACGAAACTACTTTGGAGGAAGTCTTCTGGTGTAAAGGGAGGAGCCACCACATCAAGGGCTCGGACATCAGAAACTCTTTTGCTGGAGACATGACCAGTTTGGCCGAAAGTAGTTTGAGTGACAATAAGGTATTAGTTGGCCAAGTCTCGAAAAATTTTAGGACAATAGATACGTCCCACAAGACAGAGTATCTTGGCAAGGGGAGGTCGACATACCAGAGGATGTCGACCGACTTGGATCCCACCCAAACCTTGATGACCAGCAGAAATGGATGAATGGTAAAGGTTCACGGTACAGTATGCCTTACCTTCATCGAATATGGAAGTCATAAACTGGAGGATATGAGTCAAAGGAGCCAATATGGAATCCAAGTCGCATTCCAGGCACCAACTATGCCATCTGCTCCAAGCATACTTGTAAGCCTGTCTCGTGCTGGGTGCCCATGTGCCTTCGAGAAGTCAGAGAGTTGATTGCAAAACTTCCTTGATAGACCAGAGTCCCCTGAAATCAACTATACCATGAGATGTAAGTGGCCTTGAAGAACCAGGGGGTGAAACTGGCCGTCTGGATCCAGAACGAGGTATTTGAGGGGTGGGAGGAGGCGAGGTATGTCGACAATCATGGGTGGAAACCATGGCTGCGCTGGCCAAAGTGGGATGGCGATCACCAGGGAGCCGGCTTGGTGTCGTAGGTGCAGGAGGCAACGGGAGATTAGTGCAAAGGGAAGAAAAGCGTAATTCCTTGCGGATGACCAATCTTGTTTGAAAGCATTTGAAGCTAGTGCTGTCGGATCTGGTCTCCAACTGAAGAAGCAGGGTACTTGCGTATTCAGATGCGAGGTAAAATAATGATGGGCCCCTTAGGAACTGGATGTCTTGGAAGACCCTGGAATCCAACTCCCAATCGTTCTAATATATAAAGTGTCTGGAATACCAGTTAGCCGTAACTCAGATGCCTTGAGCCAGGCAGAATTGCCAAAAGTCCCATGCCATGTTCACTAGAATTTTAAATTTTGTGCCTTCCAGGTGGTTGATGTACTGGACAGCTGATATGTTGTCCATGTTCAGGAGGATAGAGCATTGGGATAAAGTCGGTGAAAAACTGCGGATTGCAAATGAACCAGCCAGAAGTTCCAAACAATTGATGTGGAAGAAGTTTGATGTCAGATCTGACCATCTGCCACCGGTAGAAATATCGTCGCAGCAAGCTCCCCAACCATGTAAGCTTGCGTCGGACTCTATTACCAAATCTGTAGTTGTGCCAAAAATGGCGCGACCATTCCAGGCTTTCATGTGGAGGAGCCACAATTGTAGTTTGTACTTTGCTTCTGAGTCTAGAGTGACCATATCTGTGTATGATGCGCCGCCCTTCAGCTGAGAAGCTTGTAAGCACTACAGTGCTCAATAATGTAGAGGACCCGGAAAGATGGCTTGTATAGAGGCCTATCATTCTCGCTGGTTGTTTGAGTAAGAGTTGAGGGGCAGCAAGTGTGAGCCTGATCTCCTTCCTGATATTTATCAGTTTTTCCTGTGGCAGGTGAAGGGTAGAGTCTACGAGAAGAAATTCTATGCATCGTGTGGGGACGATGATGGATTTCTTCCAATTGATTAGGAAGCTTACCTTAGTTGGGAGTCCAGTAGGCAGAAATATATGCTTACCCTTGCAATTAAACACAAGCTATGGTGGTCAGGTAAGAATTCACCTGGCCTGTGAGTCTGTGCATGGGGGCTGTGCAGGATATTGCTCCAAGTCGCAGTACAGGTAAGGACAAAAGCAGGAGAATCATTGAGGGTAAGCCAGAAGTCAGAGGGTGCCAGAAGTCAGGATACACGATAAGAAAGCCAAGGTAAGGAGCCAACTGGAGAACACTGGATCATGAATACAAACACAGGAACCAGAGTCAACAAACTGACACTGCCCTCAGGGAGAGGCATCTGCTTCAGGTGGGCTAAGATTGATAGGAGCAGCCACAGGTAAAGTCCAGCCCCCAGTGCTGGAGATAAGGCAGGAATAAACATCAGGCTGAAACAGGGGCGGACTAAGAGCCTTTGGGGCCCCCGGGCAAAATTAGATCCCAGGCCTTTTGAAGGTGCATTAAATAAATATTAACTATAACTCTCATATAATACGGTATTCCTTTGGATGTGTACAGTGTGAAGACCTGTGTATTAATGAAAGTTTGTATTTGAGTCTGCGTGAATGGACTTGTGCATGTCTGGATGACTACATGTGACTACTGTGTGTGTGCTGCCTGTATTAATGCGTATATGTTTGCTGCCTGTATTTATGTAATGTGTGTGTGTGCTGTCTGTATGGACATGTGTGTGTAGAAGGCTTTATTTTTAAAGTAATGTGATTCAGATGTTTGTTCTCTACAATTTGAGTGTATTATGCATATATAAACAATGCTTGTAAAAAAAAAAATGAACCTTGACTCCACTGGCCCACATACCGTCAATCTGACACAATCACTGCCTCACACAATCACTGACTCACATACTGTCACTGGCACATATTCTGCACAGCCCCATCATTACATATTTCACATTACCAGCATCCTTAGTCCTGCAATCCTCAATCCATATCTTTCCACCAGCCCCTATTTCCTTTCCCCATACTTTTCAATCATCTGTCTCTTTTCCATGCTCTCTGTATAATCCTCTTACCATGATTTTCTCCCTCAGATTCCTCCCTACATCTCTTCCATGACCTATTCCTTACATTGTTCTCCTATTCCCATGACACTCATATTTGGCACTATTTTTCTAATGCTTTCATTAACTTTTTTCTCCCCATCTACCCCTTTATTTTTCCACCCTCTCTCCTGCTCCCTGTGATCTCTCCCCATCTTCCCCTTTATTCTTCCTCCTTCTCTCCTGCTCCCTGTGATCTCTCACAGTATTCCCCTTTATTCTTCCTCCTTCTCTCCTGCTCCCTGTGATCTCTCCCAGCATCCCCCTTTTAATTTCCTTCCTTTGTTCTGCTTCCCCTTGCTGGCTGTGAAGGCTCTGTGTGTGAGGAAAGTACAGAAAGTGATGTCACTTCCTAGCCCCGCCTCTCCTCATCACACAGAGTGCCGCACAGGAAAGCAAGGAGACCTGTCAGAGAGCAGGTAACGCTACCAGGTCTCATTTTGAGAGAGGGAGAAGGTGGGTAAAGTGCAGAGTCATAGGTTGCTGGGGGCCTGCGCTCCATCAGGGACCCCACAACCTATTGAGGGGAGATTTTTTTTATTTTAATTTGTCGTTCCAGTTGGAGAGATCTCTGATCTCTCCAGCTGGAGCATGTCTTTGCGGCCGGGCCCCTGGCTGTCTTGGGCCCTCGGTCCAAGACCGATCTGCCCAAGTGGTCAGTCCGCCCCTGGGCTGAAAACAAGAGCTGAATTGTGGCTTAGAGGGAGGAACGCAGGCTTGGGATGTATAAGGCCTCAGGGTCAAATGTAGGGCGACCACTTCTGGGGCGACCACGTCTGGCCATCTGGATGTCACACTGAGAGTCGTTACAGAAAAGACAATCTCCCTTGGAGGGCAGTATTGTATCGGTGGGGACAGGAAGTCTATGCAATACCCTTTTACAGTTTGCAGAACCCAAGTGTCTGAAGAAATAAGAGACCATACAAGGAAAAAATATGTGAGTCTGCCCCTCACCACTAATAGGGAAGAATGGAGATTTTGAAGATTTGCCATAAGGTCGTCGTCCTGAAGGAGCACCTTGTGTGCCACAAGCAACCCAGGGCGACTATGTTGTGGGAAGAATGTTGGTGCATTTCGCTGCTCAAAGAAGCTGGCTTGCCCAGTGTAGGATCCCCTGTTCTGTCTAAAAGAACTTCTATTAACCCGGCTGGACAGACGGCTCCTGGCTCTTCTGGCCCCCCAAAAAAACATGGGGGTTAAACACTTTGCGCATGTTTAGCTGCTCTTTATCAAAAGTGGTAAAGGTATGTACAAATAAGCCCAGTTCCTTTACAAAATTATTTCCAAAGAGGAAACCTTTAGCCTGTTAACTAGTTTAGGCTCAATTTTGAGCAGAATCGATTTGCGACACTTCGTGGCTATCACAGTATTGGCATTGCCAACTAAGCATATAATCTTCTGTATCCAGCCACGTAAGGTGACACGTCCTAATTCTTGGTCATCTTCGACCATATAAAATATCTTGGCCGCCGGGCCCAAGATGTCCAGGATTGTATTCTGGCAGTTTCGAAGTGAAAAGTCTAAGCCTTTATTGGCTTCCATCCCATCTTACCCAAGAATTGGATAATTTTGGGGTCCACTGAGGGCGTCTTGCAGGCATCATCTGGAAATGTGGGGCGTGGGCATTCAGCCCTGATGGGGACAATTCCACCGACTGTGGGTGGCGTAGATTGTCAGGGTCAAATAGGGGTACAACTTGAGGGTCCAATATCCTATGGGTGTCCCCTGAGGCCCTATTATCAGTCACCACCTTAGAAGGCTATATGGGAATTATATCCTGATAGGGGTCAGTCTCCTCATCGTAGTCATCAGAGCCTGGATCAGAAAGATCCTCTGAATCATCCCCGTAAGACTCCTCTTCAATGTCACGGAGTTCAGACTTAGAATCTAATTGGGCTTTTGCCTTCTAACAAAGTCTAGCCGATTTTGCCCAGCTAGTGGCTCTTTTGCGCGGTGGTAATTAATCGCGTCATCTGCGACAGGATCAGAACTGTCCATCTCAATAGACTGTGAGAAGTGTATTTTTGCAAACAGCCTTACGGCCTGGCTGAGGCTGAGCAGGTGTTGCCAAAGGCATCGCCTGTGGATTACTTGGCGGAGCCAATCTCTGTGCCTGCAGCAGAGCCTACACAAAAGTCTGCAAAACGGAGTCAGACATAACTTCCATCGCAAAAACCATGGCTTTGGTCATAGCCTGAGACATAGATGCATCAATTAAGGCCTGCATGTCAGCAGGAGCTGTAGAGCCAGTGGAGAGATCTGTTTCATCTCTAGACATACTTGGAGAGTTCTGGAAGTTAATCTGAGCAGTCGTTATAAACCCAGAGGGAGCTGCAAGATCCCTGTCAGATTGCATTTTGTTTAATAGCAAGGAAAATAATTAGGTATATAACCTAAACAAAAGCCGTATTGCTTTGCTACAGTCTGTAACGAATGCTGCCACCAGACTGATTTTCTCTAGTCTGTCCTCTCACACTTCACTCCTCTATCAGTCCTTACATTGGCTTCCAGTATCCTATAGGAGTCAATTCAAATTGCTATAAAGCATTGATTAACTTAACAATCTTATATCTCTTCACAGATCCATAGGTATGCCTCTTCTCGGTCTCTCCGCCCTGCCTGTGACCTTCTCCGGTCCGTTACTCGCACCTGTACGGCCAACTCACGTTTACAGGGCTTCTCGCAGGTGGCTCCCTTCCTATGGCACTTACTGTTTGGCACTGTTCCTAATTTCTTTTCATTAGCACATCACCTGGTCCTTGTTTAGCACCTATATAGTCTGGTTTCTCCCCTCACTCATTGTCAGATCATTGTCTCCTGTTTCTTGTTTCCTGGTTCCTGAGATCCTGACTCTTCGCTCCTTGATCCTGTGTCCTGCGTTTCCTGATCCTCTGTTCGCTTGTCTTCTTGGTCTTGTGTTTTCGTGTCCTCCTGGTCCGGTGTTCCTGTGTCCACCTGGTCCTGTGGTCCCATGTCCTCCGGGTCCTACGTTCCTGTGCCCTGATTAAGTGTTCCTGCCTCTGCCTTATTTCCAGTGATCCTGACCCTGCAGCCTTGTTCGTTTGTCCTGCTTTGGGCTTGCTTTCTGGTGTCATATATTTGTTTTGTGGCTCTGGATCTGTGTCCCATCTGTTTCTGTGGTGGCTGCACAATCCTGCCCAAATACATTCTTTATACCAAAGGACTGTTTAAGTATACTCTGCCTTCCCAATTTGTGGTAATCCTGATTTATTGTATATATTGTTCTGTGGCATTGTATATATTTATTACATGTTGTTTTGTTATCTTTTGTCCTTTGGTTCCCTTTAATATATATTTCTTGATTTACTCTATTTATTGTGTCCTTGCATTTATTCTTTGCTAAATTGGTTAGCAAAGCATTCCTGTTGGTAATTATAAGGCATTTGATTTGATTAGTTAGCTACTTGCTATCGATTGCTGTTTAAATTAGCTGTTGTTTGCAAATAAGCAGAGGCCTACCCAGATGTTAAACATTCCTAGTGGGTGGTGATTTTAGGAGTTATATAAGGGTTGTTGTCATTAGCTTGGCTAATATAGCTTGGTTGCTTCATCTAAGTGTTGCTTCTAAGTGTGTGGTTGGAGATATTCTGGAGAGTGTTGCTTCTAAGTGTGTGGTTGGAGATATTCTGGAGAGTGTTGCTTCTAAGTGTGTGGTTGGAGATATTCTGGAGAGTGTTGCTTCTAAGTGTGTGGTTGGAGATATTCTGGAGAGTGTTGCTTCTAAGTGTGTGGTTGGAGATATTCTGGAGATAATCTGAGGTATTCAGGAGGATAAATAAAAAGTTAAGATTCGTTTGATTTAAATTATTCTCATCATTGGAATGGCAGACTTAGTTCAGTGTAATAGTTGCTATGCATTTGTTTCACGTTCCACTTTTTGGAGGTTCGGTTGTTGTCTAATCTGTAGACAGTTCTTTATCTTGTGGCAGGAGATTGTATTTTTGAAGTCTGAGATTTGTAAATTATCTGGTGAACAAACTCAGACTGGAACTGCTGCAAAGCCACTGCCGCAGAGACATACTGGGAATGGCAGATGGATTACTGTAGGATCTGGTAGACTTAGAGTTGTGGATAAAAGGCATATTGCACAGTCTGTTGCTCTACATAATTCATTTTCTGCACTTTCAGAGTGTAATGGTGTTGTGGAGAGAGGCACTGAGGCTAGTGGTGTTGTGGAGAGAGGCACTGAGGCTAGTGGTTTTGTGGAGAGGGGCACTGAGGCTAGTAGTTTTGTGGAGAGGGGCACTGAGGCTAGTGGTGTTGTGGAGAGGGGCACTGAGGCTAGTGGTGTTGTGGAGAGAGGCACTGAGGCTAGTGGTGTTGTGGAAAGAGGCACTGAGGCTAGTGGTGTTGTGGAGAGAGGCACTGAGGCTAGTGGTATTGTGGAGAGAGGCACTGAGGCTAGTGGTGTTGTGGAGACCGGCTTGGAGACTATGGTGAGGCCTAATAGAAAGCAGTTGTTGTTGGGGGATTCCATCATAAGAGGTGTGGAGATGGACAATGGTGGTCTTGTGAGGTGTCTTCTCGGAGCTACTGCTCACAGAGACAGGAGACGTATCTGTAATATTGTTAAGCAAGCAAAGCAGGAAGAGGAATTGGATGTACTTGTCCATCTAGGGACAAATGATTTGGCTTGCAATGAGGTTTCAGAGGTTAAAGAAGTTTTTAGTGTTTTTGCCAATGATATACTGCAGGTTGCTTCCACACTGTCATTCCCTGAAGTTCTGCCTGTACATAACACTCAGAACGACAGGCGGATGCGTATTAGGGACTTTAATTTGTGGCTTGGTGAATGGTGTCGGGAGCAAGGATTTGGCTTTATTTCTCATGGTAGCTCTGTTTGGAATGGAAATAACCTGTACATGGTTTGCATCTTTCTCAAAAGGGAACAAATGTTCTCAGTGAGCAGTTCAGAGGTTTTGCTAGGATGTATTTAAACTAGGAGGGGGGAGCAAAAGGGTGATAAAACATCAATCCAATTGTCCCCCAAAACAAGGACAGAAGGTGCCTGTAGCAAGTGTGTTAAAAAATGATAAGCTTAGAGTCATGTCTACAAATGCTTGCAGTTTAGGGAATAAGATCCATGAACTTGTGGCAATAATGGCAACTGATAGTGTAGATTTACTCGCTGTTACTGAGACATGGTATAATGAGAAAAATGACTGGGACATAGCAATATCAGGGTACTCTTTACATAAAAAAGATAGGGAAGGCAAGAAAGGGGTAGGGGTGGCCCTGTATGGGAAGGATAGCATAAAATCTAGTCTAATAAAAGTTAGTGAGGCAAACATAGAGTCCGTTTGGGTTATGTTAGAATTTGGTAATCACACAGTAAGTCGTGTAGGTGCGATTTATAGGCCCCCAGGACAAATTGAAGAGTTAGATAATCTACTAGTTGAGGAAATAGCTAAAATGACAATGAAGGGGGAAGTTATCATCATGGGTGACTTTAATCTTCCTGATGTAAATTGGAAAACAAAAATAGCTGCTTGTGCCAGGAGCACAGATATTCTAAACTCCCTACTGGGATTGTCTCTAAAACAAGTCATTGAGGAGCCAACTTGTAAAGAGGCCATACTAGATTTAGTGTTAACAAATGGAGATTTTGAATCAGATATTACTGTAGGTGAAAGTTTAGGATCCAGTGATCATCAGTCAGTGTGGTTTAATATAAGAACAGTGACTGAGTCACACCACACAAAAACAAAAGTTTTAGACTTTAGAAAAACAGACTTTTCTAAAGTTAGAATATGTGTAGAGGAGTCATTATCAGACTGGAGCAATATAAATGGAGTCCAAGAGAAATGGGATTATTTAAAAGTTGCACTACTGAAGGCAACAGAAAATTGCATTGGGCTTGTCAGTACTGTGGTACTCCGCAGATGTGGCCAAAATAGTTTAAAAACAAAAAGTTCGCATTTTAGTAATTGTTAAAAAAAAACAGAGTGAGGAAGAAAAAATGATCTATAAGATTAGGCAGAAAGAGGCTAAGCAAGTTATAAGAGCTTCCAAATCACACACAGAAGAGAAAATAGCACAGTCAGTAAAAAGGGGGGACAACACTTTTTTTAGATACATAAATGAGAAAAGAAAAGTAAAACAAGGATTAGTTAGATTAAAAACAAAAGGAGGAAGGTATGTAGAAGAGGATAAAGGTCTAGCTGACTGTCTCAATGAATATTTTTGTTCTGTATTTACAGATGAAAATGAAGGAAAGGGACCTCAGTTAAGAAAAAGGATAAATGAGTCACTTATTACACGTGAGTTTACAGAGGAAGAGGTTCTATTTCAACTGTCAAAAGTAAAGCCAAATAAGTCAATGGGACCTGATGGAATACACCCAAAGCTATTAAAAGAGCTTAGTGGTGTACTAGCAAAACCAATAACAGATTTCTTTAACCAATCATTGTTAACAGGAGTAGTCCCAGAAGATTGGAAGTTAGCGAATGTTGTGCCCATTTACAAGAAAGGTAATAGGGAGGAGTCGGGCAACTATAGGCCAGTAAGCCTTACTTCACTAGTGGGGAAAGTGATGGAAACCATGTTAAAGGATAGGATTGTTGAACATCTAAAAACACATGGATTTCAAGATCAGAGACAACATGGGTTTACTTCAGGGAGATCATGCCAAACTAATCTTATTGATTTTTTTGATTGGGTAACTAAAATTATAGATCAGGGTGGTGCAGTAGACATTGCTTACCTAGATTTCAGTAAGGCTTTTGACACTGTTGCACATAGAAGGCTTATCAATAAACTGCAATCTTTAAGTTTGGATTCAAATATTGTTGAATGGGTAAGGCAGTGGCTGAGTGACAGGCAACAGAGGGTTGTAGTTAATGGAATATATTCGAAGCTTGGACTTGTCACCAGTGGGGTACCTCAGGGATCTGTACTTGG